TCCTAAAACTTGATGGCTTGGAGCAACACAGCTTCCTGTTCCTTTGCCTCAATTCCTTTTAAACTAGGCAATCTCAAAAAAATTTCGATATAGGATCCTAGCTCCAGGAGAAGACACATCACTTGCATTCCAATAAAAACCAAGGGAATTCTGTATCTTTGTGCTAATTAGCCCAGCTTATGTTCTTGCTGGCCTGTGTTCTCTTTCTGTCACTCAGACATGCAGTTTTCATTATGTAGCACTTGCTGGCCTGGAGCTCTTTATTGAGACTAGACTCATAGAGTTCTGCCTGCCTCCCAAGTATTAGGATTACAGCCCCTAGCATTACCTGGTGCACTTAAAAAAAAAAAAAAAAAAAAAAAAAAAAAAAAAAAAAAAAAAAACCTTAAAGAGATGTGTTTGTTCCCTTTGGCCTCCTGTTCCTTAGTGTGACATTCAGATTATTCTTTTGTGTATCAAAGCCAAGGACCTGGTAACACCTGAGTTGGGGTCCTCAAAATATTAAGTGAATTCCTTATGGTGTGAGCAGCAGTGAGGTGTCTTTCTTTTCCTGTTGTCCCGAGACTAACAGTATGTGTCCAAATGGAACTATTTGTCTTTTCATGTACATGAATGAAGTAAAGGTATTTGCTAAACACTGCCTTTTGCACTGCAAACCGAGGGTACTTGAGAAACAGCAAATTCAGGGAGGGACTTGACTTGAATTTCCTTTTAATGACCAAAGACAAATGCCCAAGTTACTGCAATATCATGACTTTCTCCCAAAAGCATCTCAAGTAGAGATTGTCTTCTGGGACTTGAAGATCAACTCCCTGCTCAAATAGTTTTGCCACAAGTGATTTCTTCTGAGAGCATGCCCAGGTCACTCACTCTCCACTAGTTTTTCTGTATTTCCTCCTTGCTGCACTAAGAAGGAATATATACTTCAACATCTCCCAGAAGTTTAGTGTATTCATTCTTCTTTCATGCAACATATATGTGTACACTTTGCTTTGCTTTATCTGTTTACCATAATCTACTTAATCTTGGAACACTCTAAGTCGAAAAGGAACATTTATCCTTCACAGGAATTGAATCTGAAATTCTTCTGATTCTAAACTGTAGTTGGTGGGCGTGACTACAGACAGGGAAAGGGGACTTGTCTCACACATACACAAAATTCAAAAAGAAAACCAAACAACCCTTCCCAGAAAACATAAACCCAAGTGAAGAAACAAATGTATGGAAGATATTGCATTACATTCTGGGACAATTTAAAACATTTACTTTATAATTAGTATTTCTTTTTCAGGATCATATTTTGGAGGGTATTTCACAGTTTGGTCTCACTTCACACAAGACTGGATTTGTGTTATAGCATCAGTTTGGTCATTTTAATTCCGTCTACTTTAAGGAATGGAATAGAATTTGTTCCACAGAATACTATAGACATTAATGGAGATGTTATGGAAAATGACTAGTCTTTTATTAAGATTTCAGGAGTTATACAACAGCTTACATACCTTTTCCAGAAGTGGTGTACTAACATTTAATTGATGAGAACTTATAGAAATGACTTTCTTTTTAAAATTTCTCCTTGAATTCTTTACTTAGTATTTCATGCTCTGGAAAACTCAAACACAATTTCAAGTCAAGTCACATTAAGACCATGCTTATAGTCTTTTCTTCTTCCACAATATTTTAAATCATCATGTCAGGAGACTATATTAAGAATATATAAACACTACACACACTCTTAAATTCAAGTAATAAGTAGACAATGAAGGTGAAACAGAAGAAATTTATTAAATCAACAAACAACTTACGAAAACAGGAAAAAGGGTTTTCTATTTTCCCGAGTGCTTAGCTGGGGACTTATAAGACTGAGCCTGGTCCTGAAGGGTGTAATTCCAGTTACTTTTGACTTTGAGACAGTAAGACCCACTTAGTTGGAGAACAGAAACATAAATGGTGAAATCGGGTGTCAAAACAAGAACCTCATTGCAAACAAAACACAAAGGAACCTAACGAAAGGAAGCTTCTCTGACTATGAGGGACCAAAAATGAAAATTAATAAAAGTTTAAACACTTAGGCCCTGAAAAGGGAACGTCTAATGGAAAAGGGAAATTTAACTGCTTAAATCAGGAGTGCCATGGCTGGTGCCCGATCCCCTGCTTTCAGATAAGGGGAGGTAATTGTCCACCACTCCTGTTAACATTCCTTTGCTAATTGCTGGTCACACCCCACCCCCCCCCCCCCCCCCCCAGCCCAAGGAATAACTGACAGACCCTGTGATCCTGTAACCCTGCAAGCCCATACCCTGTCTTATCTCAGTCAACTATATCTCCCATAAAATGTATAGTTATGCAGTGAGACCCTAGCTGGCCAGCTTGAAATAAAAAGAAACCTCTTGCTTTTGCATCAGTGTCAACTCTTTGGGTTAGTCTCTGGGCTCCTTGAACTTGGCACAACTGCATCTCTTTGTCTTCCGTAAGCAACATTTTCTAAGATGACTTTTCAGACCTATAGCCACACCCTAGTAATTAACAAGGTAATTTAAAATATTGCTTTACAGCACTGACAAGACGGTAAATTTCTACCACTCTTAGTGGACTCTAGAATGTAAGAATAAAAGCGACGTTAGTGCCGGGAGGAGGCGCACACTTCCACCACCAGGACTAGAAACAAGAGGAACTTTTGAGCTCCTAGACCTAAACAACCAAGCTCCAATATACTATGTATAAGCAATCCAGCTCTGTTTTGACAACTTAGGTGGCTCTGAAAAGAGCCTTTAGGTCGCAAGACCATCGCGCTCACTTGGAGCTGGTGTACTTGGTGACGGCCTTGGTGCCCTCGGACACCGCGTGCTTGGCCAGCTCCCCGGGAAGCAGCAGGCGCACGGCCGTCTGGATCTCCCGGGACGTGATGGTCGAGCGCTTGTTGTAATGCGCCAGGCGAGAAGCCTCGCCCGCGATGCGCTCGAAGATGTCGTTGACGAAAGAGTTCATGATGCCCATGGCCTTGGAGGAGATTCCAGTGTCGGGGTGCACCTGCTTCAGCACCTTGTACACGTACACCGAGTAGCTCTCCTTGCGGCTGCGCTTGCGCTTCTTGCCGTCCCTCTTCTGGGCCTTGGTCACGGCCTTCTTGGAGCCCTTCTTCGGGGCGGGCGCGGACTTGACTGGCTCAGGCATGTTGACACACCAAGTCCAGGAACTCCAACGATGAGGCTATGGGCAATTTGCCTTTTATAAGCTGTTATTCAAATGCGGCTTAAAAAATCACACTTCTGATTGGGTAATGTTTCAGTGACGTCATAACCAAAGCCTTGCTCAATTTAAATAACATAGTGGCACAGATGCTTCCCATTGGTCTAAATGAAAAGAAGAAACCAGCCAATCGCCAGGGCTTTTTTCGAGCCGAGCGAAAACTATAAGTGCCAAGCTATTGCAGCTTTCAAGTCTACTTAGTTATTAGGTAGTGTTTACTTTCCATCATGTCTGGACGCGGCAAGCAAGGTGGCAAGGCACGGGCCAAGGCCAAGACCCGCTCCTCCCGGGCCGGCCTGCAGTTCCCCGTGGGCCGCGTGCACCGCCTGCTCCGCAAGGGCAACTACTCGGAGCGCGTGGGCGCCGGCGCCCCTGTGTACCTGGCGGCTGTGCTGGAGTACTTGACGGCCGAGATCCTGGAGCTGGCTGGCAACGCGGCCCGTGACAACAAGAAGACCCGCATCTCCCCGCGCCCCCTTCAGCTGGCCATCCGCAACGACGAGGAGCTCAACAAGCTGCTGGGCCGCGTGACCATCGCGCAGGGCGGTGTCCTGCCCAACATCCAGGCGGTGCTGCTGCCCAAGAAGACCGAGAGCCACCACAAGCCCAAGGGAAAATAAGACATTTAGGACAAAATTTACCAAAGGCTCTTTTCAGAGCCACCAATCCTGTCTTTTAAAGAACTGAACATATTGGTGCATTAGTTTCTGTGAATTCCTCTAGCAAATCAATGTAACTTGACCAGTACATTTACAAACCACAACTGTTGCAGGATATCGTTTTTTCTTAAATGAAAGGTTAGCTCACAGCTTTCCTCACTAAAATAAATTTTGGGTAAATGGTTGGAGGAAACGACACTGGGTGCAAGATTCAGTTTAGCAATTTGAACGCGTTTCCAATTTTTTTTCAAATATTGCCCCTGAACTTCATAATCCCTAGTACATTAGTTTTTGCTTTAAAATATTTAAGCCTTTAATAGACAAATTAAAAGTCAATTTTTGATTAGAATTGTAAGAGCAGGCGATTCCTTCTTTGAATTAAAAATTGTGAAAATGGGGTTATTTTGGGTGGAAGAGTAGGTTCCTGACACTTAAATTGTTCCAATATTATAAAAAGTGAGTGAAATTTGAAATCTGTAGCGGGTTGAAATATGTATGGACACTGATGGTGGCCATCATCCAATTGGAAACTTGGTAGAACAAAAACAAAAACACCTATACAATGTATTACAATTTTTAAGGGCCAAAATTGAAGTAAAATATTTGAAAGCATACTAATAAAGAGCGCTAATAGCGTGTACACATTCCCTGGCATATTAATTTACCCTGTTTACGTGTACTTTTTATGAAAAAATGTCAATAGCACTTTTGTCTACTGGAAATCGCATGTATAAAATAACCTATACCTGAGAAATAAAGAAACAGCTCATAGGTCACGAAGAGTATCAAATTATTTGCAAACATTTCTTTGAGAGAAGGTCTGTCGCTATATAATTCAAGCTCGTCTCCTACTAGCAGCAATTCTCCTGCCTCAGTTTCCCTATTGCTTGTGATACTGGTTTATCTGTTTCAGAGTTGCCGGACTGAAAAAAAACAAAAAAAAACCAACAAAAAAAAAAAAAAAACAAGGCGCGTGCACAGTTGACCAATACATTTGAAGTTGAGTAGGCCTAGTGTAGTTTCGTCCAATCAGCTTCAGATTCTGATTATAAATAAGCCTTCAGCAGGGCTCACTTGATTCTACTAGTTGTGAGGTCATGGCTCGTACTAAGCAGACCGCTCGCAAGTCCACCGGCGGCAAGGCCCCGCGCAAGCAGTTGGCCACCAAGGCTGCTCGCAAGAGCGCCCCTGCCACCGGCGGCGTGAAGAAGCCTCACCGCTACCGGCCCGGCACCGTGGCTCTGCGCGAGATCCGGCGCTACCAGAAGTCCACCGAGCTGTTGATCCGTAAGCTGCCGTTCCAGCGCCTGGTGCGCGAGATCGCGCAGGATTTCAAGACAGACCTGCGCTTCCAGAGCTCAGCCGTTATGGCTCTGCAGGAGGCTAGCGAGGCATATCTCGTTGGTCTGTTTGAGGACACCAACCTGTGCGCTATTCACGCCAAGCGAGTCACCATCATGCCCAAGGACATCCAGCTGGCCCGCCGCATTCGTGGGGAAAGGGCATAATTTGATTACAAGACCGAACAAACACAAAGGCTCTTTTCAGAGCCACCTCCTTTCTCACTAGAAAGTCTGTTAATGCTAAGGGTCACAGCCAGAAACTAGTGTGGTATCTAATTCGTTGCTTACAGAACCCATCCATGATAGTCTGTTTGCTGCAGAATTGATTCAGATTGAGCTCAAGTTTTTAAGTGACAGTGATGGCAGGTCCCAGCGTGTGGATGACCAACTTGGTGCTGCTCTTAACAGGATCCTCCATCAATGGCACAGGATTGGGGTTTACATCCGTCTTACACAAATATTTATATATGGAACAAAGACAAGAATTCTTGGGAATTGGGGGTGAGCCACATCTAAACTTCACTTACACTGCACCAACTGCATCCATCTACTTGTCAGGCTTTTTAGCTTTTGTTATAAAGCACTTCGCATGGCACATATTTCAGAAATAACTCGCAATAGCCCTCTTCAACTGAGAATGGCATACCCATCAAACACAAAGACTAATGTGTACGTGCTGTGTCTGAAGGCAGGCTAGGAGCCTGACTCACTAGGTGGGGTGGTCCAGTAGTAGTGGGTAGTTTCAAATGGGAGGTGGATAGAGATATTTTCCAATAGGCCTTGTTAGAATCTGGAGTTTCACACAGTCCTTTCCTTTTTTCTAAAAGTCCTGATAATGTTCGCTTGTAAACATGGAGAAAATATTGGTGGCATAGATGATCCCTATCGGGTAAAAAACCTGTTCATAAAGCAACGCCCCGTACTCTGACCGTATTGTCTTTTGTGTCTGACAAATCTGACCACATTAAAGGAGAGAATGGCCTGGGCAAAGGTAGTTCTAAGCACTACTGCCAAGTCCTGCACAACACAGAATTATCACCAAGACTGCCATCTACCGCCTGCCACAGCAAGGCAGCATCAAGAGTATCCCTGGTTTAGCTTTTCCAGAGGCTGCCTTAGTCTTCTAGGGCTGTATACATTTTTCTGTATAGGCTGCTGTTTCTGTGACTAATTTCTGGCTTCCCTTCGAACCTTGAACTGTAACTTTAGTAACTTGTAAATGAATGCCAATCAAGAGCCAGGGTCCCCAGTTAATGAAACATAGTAGACAAATCTCAATGCCCTCGGGGTTTTTAAATACAGGAAGTGTGCCGGTTCATCCATTTTGAATTTTATCGCGCCAAAACCGCAACCGTTGAGAGGTAGTATGAACTGCAATTTCTAAAGTAGTTTCCTCTGACGGAATTGTTGGAGCCGTTCTCCGGAGCGATCAAATGTGAGAAGTGCTGATGACTCCAGGAATTAATTTCTTGTCAATTTTCCTTTCAGATTTCATTAAATGTGTGCTCTAAATGACTCCTTTGTTTAAATAATGAAAAGATTCGTTGATTTCCAAACCCAACGTTTTCTTGTGATTTTAGTTCCTGGGGTATGCTAGAATAATTTTTACGCTAAAAACGCAACTCGTACATTTAAAAGAGGACGTAGGCGACGAACTACCCTTTTATTACTGGATTGAAACGCGGACCAATCCCATGTCTGGATCTATGATGTCAGCAATTGACTGTCCAATCCAGCACGGAGGCTCGTTATATATACACGAAGCTTTTCGGCAGTTCTCCATTGTGTTGTTTTTCATCCAGTGAAATGGCTCGTACCAAGCAGACAGCTCGCAAGTCCACTGGCGGCAAGGCCCCGCGCAAGCAGCTGGCCACCAAAGCTGCTCGCAAGAGCGCCCCAGCGACTGGCGGCGTGAAGAAGCCTCACCGCTACCGGCCCGGCACCGTGGCTCTGCGCGAGATCCGGCGCTACCAGAAGTCCACCGAGCTGTTGATCCGTAAGCTGCCGTTCCAGCGCCTGGTGCGCGAGATCGCGCAGGACTTCAAGACCGACCTGCGCTTCCAGAGCTCTGCAGTCATGGCGCTGCAGGAGGCCTGTGAGGCCTACCTGGTGGGTCTGTTTGAGGACACCAACCTGTGCGCCATCCACGCCAAGCGAGTCACCATCATGCCCAAGGACATCCAGCTGGCCCGCCGCATCCGCGGGGAGAGGGCTTAGGTTTTCCTGCCATCCTATACTTCAAAGGCTCTTTTCAGAGCCCCCCTTCACTGTCACCAAAAGTGAGCTGTGACTTCAAAACTGATTCTTGTATGTTCCGGTTTACAACAGTCTTAACGTGGCACTCACCACAACTTTATTCGGTCTCATTCTCACCCTGTGTGTATGTTCTAAGTCATGTGGCTCTTTGGGCTTAAGTACTTGTTTCGATAGCAGGACCTCTTCACAGGAAAATATACCAATTGTCCCCCTTAGTTTTTCCTCGTTAGGTAGCATCCTTTCTGCTTCAAATCTGGTGGTTATGTAAAATGTGCCTAGTTAAATTTTAGCATACCTTTAGAGTTCTTTAAATCTCTCTAGTGATTAATACCTGCCACCCTGCATTTTGCTTCAGTTAATTCCCTAAATTAGAAACTTGTTTGGATAGTGGAAATTGGGTACGACAAGCTGCTTTTGTTCCTTTTGAGACAAGGCTTCACTATCACAGTTGCTTGGGATTATTGGCAGGCTTAAACCATCAAGTGCTAAAATGACCTCTTTGTGTTTAATTATGCTGAGTGGTACACAAGTAAAAGTTTAAGTTTTCTAAGTCACACACCTTCTTTGATATTGCTTATTGTTCTTTAGAAACGTTCCTACTTTGAAAGTAATACAATTTACTATATAGGTGTGTCGATCTTGTACACCATTCCCTGACAATGTGTACCAAACATGTTGTCCTCTTGTCCTCTTTAGTATCCTTGACTGATTGGTAAAACAGTCAGTACTTTATTTTTTTTGAGATAAGGTCTCAAGTAGCTCAGTGTTAAATGTAGTCACCTGAATATGTAGCAATGAATGACCTTGTGATTGCAATCTTGCCTCAACTGAGTAATTGGTAGGATTATAGGTGTGACCCTGAAAACCTTGATGAAGATTGTCTTTGTCAAAGGAAACTGCATTTTTTTTCTTTGTAAAATAAAACAGAATCCTTGTGATTTATTTTACATCTGAATGAATCGGATGTAGTCCTTTTTACATCTTTCTGCACCACAGCCTGTGTTACCTTTCACCATAGTAAGCTTCATCTTCTCTCCTAGAGCAAACTTCACCACCCCCTTTCTCTTTCCATTGCTTTATTTTTCTCAAATTCTTTGAAACTCTAATTGCCAGGCCCTTAATAATATTCTAAAATATTGCCCATCTTGGCATCTCAATATACAAAAAATACCCATATTGGCATTGACTACTTAAGAGCATGCCTGATTGTCCTGCTTGCTAAATGTTCTGAAATTCTCACTGGTCATCTCAACCAACTACATTTGAGGACTGGAGGGTCACTCTAATAATTTCCTGAAAGTTTTAAAATTTTCCTCACGCAAATTATCTTTAGTTAGTATTTTCTGTCTTCAGATACCATTAGCAACTAACAAAAGCAAGTCAGATCCATATCTAATTTATTTTGACTTAGAAGTAAATTGGTTTGCCACTGAAGGTAGTGACTTCTTTTTAAATATTTGAGTTACTTTTTAAAGCTTTATGTGTATGAGGTTTTGTCTCCATGTGTATATGTGCACCACTTACTTGCCTGATAATCCGGAGAATTGAGAAGAAAGCCTGAGATACTCCGGGGCTGGAGTTACAGACAGTTGCAAGCTGCCCTGTGAGTGCTGGGAAACTAAAGCAGACCTGCAAGAGCAGTAGCTGCTCTTACCTGCCAATCCATTGCCACAACTCTTAAAGTCAATGATTTCTAAACTCCCGACTTCAAAGAAGAAAGTTTCACAATGGAAAAATTTTCAATCTCCATTAAAGATAGCAATGTGCAGAAAGTACGAGAAGCCGGACCTATTTTAAAGAGAAATATCTAAAATGTTTAATTTCAGTCTGCCGCCAGCCAAACCTGTGTTATTTGCTACAGTCAGAAACAAAGTTTGTGACCAAACCAAAAAAGATATTTCTTTTACTCTTGCAAAAATTAAAGGCGGGACTTGTGGACAAATCCTTTTAAGTAATGTTCCTTGCATACTTCGTATACGTTTATGGAAATATGCAAGTAACTATCAGGATGTCCTCTCCTTTGAGGATTCTTCTGAAACACTGGAGGGATTTAAAAAAAAATATCTTTAGTCTGTTGATTGTGATTCAAAAAAAGCACACATAGGTATGTGAACCCGAAGGCTGTTCTCCTTTGGAACACCAAACTGCCAATTTCTGCGCCCTTATTTTCAGTAGTAAGTAAAAATTTGGGGACTAACAAACACAATTTGGGATTCTAACCTTGTTTCGCGCGGCCAAAGGGCGGTGGATTGGACGCTCCACCAATCACAGCGCAGCTCTGGCTTATATAAGCCCGGAGTCGGAGCTAAGGAGCACAGCAAAATTTGCTCTTTGAGTTAGTTTTCCTTTGCTATTATTGTAGCTTACAATCTCGCCATGTCTGAAACTGCTCCTGCCGAAACTGCTGCTCCGGCTCCTGTGGAGAAGTCTCCCGCAAAGAAGAAGGCGACCAAAAAGGCTGGCGCAACAAAGCGCAAGGCCACCGGTCCCCCGGTGTCCGAGCTCATCACCAAGGCTGTGTCTGCCTCTAAGGAGCGCAGTGGCGTGTCCCTGGCCGCGCTCAAGAAGGCTTTGGCTGCAGGTGGCTACGACGTGGAGAAGAACAACAGCCGCATCAAGCTGGGGCTCAAGAGCCTGGTGAGCAAGGGCACCCTGGTGCAGACCAAGGGCACCGGCGCCTCCGGCTCCTTCAAGCTCAACAAGAAGGCGGCTTCCGGCGAGGCCAAGCCCAAAGCCAAGAAGGCAGGCGCCGCCAAGGCTAAGAAGCCTTCAGGTTCCACCCCGAAAAAGCCTAAGAAGGCTGCGGGGGCCAAGAAGACCGTGAAGAAAACTCCAAAGAAAGCAAAGAAGCCTGCGGCCGCTGGAGTGAAGAAAGTGGCCAAGAGCCCTAAGAAGGCCAAGGCAGCTAAGCCTAAGAAGGCAGCCAAGAGCCCGGCAAAGCCCAAGGCTGTGAAG